AACACTGTTATCATGTCTCCCCTAGTCCTTCTTTTCAGTAGATTAGCCATACCCAAATTCACATCAAGTCCATATCAAGGCATGTTGATTTTCATGACCAACATGTTTCCCATTAACAGTGGGTGGACAGCGTTAGCCAAAATGGGTCATGATTAGATATTCAAGGATGTGGTCTAAGGCAGGGGTCTCCAACCTTGGCAACTTTAAGACTTGTGGACTTCAGCTCCCAGCTTTGCTGGCTGAGGAACTCTGGGAGTTGAAGTCCACAAGTCTTAAACTTGCCAAGGTTGGAGACTCCTGGTCTAAGGTAGAAGCTTCATCTGGCATGGAAAGACCACAGTAAAACCGTATCTTAATATATGGCTGAAGCAGAACATTGCAATTCTAACCCAGAATTCATTCGAAGGAGTCAAATGATAAATACATCCCATTATATCTAGAAGTTGGGGAAGGTTCAAAGATGCTGAAACCAGCTCTTCTGTGAATTTTTCGGAATCTGAGTCCCTTCCAGATGTGGGGACTTCAACTCCCAGAATTCTCCAACCAGCTGAGGACACTCAATTGGAGAATGGCTGTTGGGACAGATCCAGACACGAGCTTCTGATCTTACATAAGACTCTTTTCCTGTGTTCCAAGAAGAACAATTTAGATTTTGAAACACAATACAACCTTGAATTGTTTTCCAAAAGGACAGCCAACGCATTCTGTTCCATTTTTCTTAGCAAGATCCCTTCCCCCCCCTTTTAATAGCAACTTCAAAAACACATTTGTTAAATTGTGTAGACTTTAAAAGAGCCAAGAAAGGCAAAGTACAAGCAATAGAGGGGTTCATTGTTTCATTAATTTCAGGAGCCCTGGTGGCGCAGCAGACTAAAGCACTGTTATTAACAGCTGCCTGCAATTACTGCAAGTTCAAGTCTCACCAGGCTCAAGGTTGACTCAGCCTTCCATCCTTTCAAAGGTAGGTGAAATGAGGACCCAGATTGTGGGGGCAATAAGCTGTTGTGGCTCCATCCTCCGAGCCTATCTTATTGGAGGAAGAAGGCTCCGAACATGAAGGAGAGGAGACGGCCAGGCCTCCCTCTCCAGGACCCTCCTCTCTGGCAATGCCTCAGGTGTCTCCCAAAGGAGAAGAGATTGGCCAGGAGCCAGGTGTTTCCGAGCCATCGGATAGTGACGAAGAAACATTGTGGTTGGACCCACGCCAGCGTCGGAGAGACAAGCGTGCGCAGCAGAAAAGGAGGCGTGCCAGAGATTAAGATGAGTCACTGGACCACACCCCACAGGCTATAAAAGGGAGTGTGGTGGCCATTCGGACTCTGTGACGGACAAAGCTAAATCTCTGGTGAGTCACTTTGCACCTTCGGACATAACGCCAATTTGCTGTGGATTTAATTACAAACTGGACTATTCAAACTGTGTGTATTTTTGACTGTGTTATCGGAGTAAAAGTTCTTGGCAGGCAGCTACGGAGTTGCTGCCAAGTTCCTTATCACTGACGTTGAGTGTTTGAAGAGTTTATTTAACCCTCGGCTGGCTGGTTGAGTGTGTGCGTGGGACGGGACAGAACATAAGCTGACTTTGTATAAATATACAAAAGTATGAAGGCTATTGCTTAATGCATTGTAAGCCGCCCTGAGTCTCCGGAGAAGGGCGGCATATAAATCAAATTTAAAATAATAATAATAATTAAAAAAAAATTAGAGCAAACCAGGTGCTTTTATACCAGGGAACTCAGGGTAATACAGAACACTCTCTGTAAAGTAGATACGTTTCTAAAGGCTGAAATAAGCACGAGGCCTGCCACCAAATGCATCTCAAGGAACCACCATACTCAATTCACTAAGACACGGGTAGGGTGAAATTTCCAAGGTGGGAGAAGGTGTAATGCCAACAAAAACACCCTGGAGATGATGTGAATGCTGGTAGGACCACACAAGGCTAAAAATACCAGGCGACAGAGATAATTGTGTCTGATGAAAACTTGCAGGAGGGCTCAGCACTGGATGGGTAATCCATTCCCTCCGTTGCTTCTTGTCCTGCCTTCAGGTGCTGTTCTGCCCCAGCTCCAGATTCCCGAGGATATTGACACACACCAGTGGTCCTTATCAAATTTATTAAGTAGCAAGAATAAACCAAAGTCCGGCAAAGGTTGGCAACCAGCCCAGAAAACAAGATACGAGAAGACTTTTCCAAGAGCCTTGGTAGCACAGTGGTCTAAGGCACCCTGTTATTAAGACCAGCTGCCTGCAATTACTGCAGGTTCAAATCTCGCCAAGGCTCAAGGTTGACTCAGCCTTCCATCCTTTCTAAGGTAGGTAAATTGAGGACCCAGTTTGTGGGGGCAATAAGCTGACTTTGTATAAAATATACAAAAGGATGAGGGCTATTGCTAAGCACATTGTAAGCCGCCCTGAGTCTCCGGAGAAGGGTGGCATATAAATCAAATTAAAAAAAAAAATGCTCTGATGATAATTACAAGTTGTTTCCAGCAAGAAACTTACTAACGGCGTGTGACTTAAATAGGCTAAGGGAGTGGCCAATTATCCTCAAGCCTTACTCTCGAGGAGACCTCCTCCTCCTGAGTAGCCACTCCTGCCTTTTGGCAGCCCTGCGTGCTCGAGCATTGAGGAGAGGCTCCTCCACTTCGCTCTCTCCACTTGAAGGAGCCTCTGGAGGTTCTGAAGGCCTTGGCTGAGTCTCTGCCTCTTCAGCCTCCTCGCTGTCCGACGCGAGCACCGGCTGTGCAGGCTGCTGGCGCGACCCCACACCAGCCTCCTCGTCATCGGGATCAGCCACGATCCGCACAGGCTGCTGGCGGGCCACAACAGGTGCTCGGGAGCCCCTCTTCCTTGTGGCAGCCCCTCAGATGTCCCAAAAGTGCAGTGGTTGGTTGCCCCTGGTTTGGACCGGTTCGCAAGAACTGGTAGTAAAACCGGTGGGAGGCTCCGCCCACCAACCCCGATGTCATCAGGAAGCTTCTGCGCATGCGCGAGCGGCCCCATTGCAAACCGGTAGTAAAGGTAAGTAGAACCCATCCCTACAAAGGTGCCTTTTTCAAGAGGCAACTGGACATCCAGCTCTGACTGGATGATGGGGGAACGGAAGGGTTTATGCTCCTTGCAAATCCTTCCATTCCCCACCATCCAGTCAAGAGTTGAAGAAGCTTCTTGTGCGAGAAGCGAAACGTCTTCAAAGGAAAAATCAGAAAGTCCAGTTGCCTCTTGAAAAAAAGCACCTTTGGGACAACCTGGATGATGGAGAATATCCACAGACATTCAGCCCCTCAGATATTGTTAGACCCCTATTTCATGTCACCCCTATTTTTCCTAGCGGCTGCTGCATTCAACAACCAGAAGTTAATTCCTGCTTATATGGAATTATAAAGGTAAAGGTTCCCCTCGCACATCTGTGCTAGTCATTCCCGACTCTAGGGGGCGGTGCTCATCTCCGTTTCAAAGCCGAAGAACCATAGACATCCGTAGACATCTCCGTGGTCATGTGGCCGGCATGACTCAACGCCAAAGGCGCACGGAACGCTCTTCCCTTCCCACCAAAGGTGGTCCCTATTTTTCTACTTGCATTTTTTACCTGCTTTCGAACTGCTAGGTTGGCAGAAGCTGAGACAAGCTGGCAGAAGCTCACGGGAGCTCACCCCGTTACGTGGCACTTAGGGATTCGAACCGCCAAACTGCCGACCTTTTGATCAACAAGCTCAGCGTCTTAGCCACTGAGCCACCGTGTCCCTTATATGGAATTATACATTTTGCCGATTGGAGCAGCCTTCAAGTTTTAGTTAAAGAAGATTGCTTGCTTGCGTGTTTGTTTGTCTTTTTCTTCAGCACATTTTTCTTTCGCATATCCATTTCCCTTTCAAAAAAAAAATAAAAAAAAATAGCAGGACGTGACACCTCCTGATACGGGTGAATATCTGGAGTTTCACAACTCCTGGTGGGCATTTCTGCTTATAATGGCTCTGTTTCTGTTATTGCTTGCAATGAATCTTTTTTTAAAAAAACAACAACAACCCAAGAGTTCAAACCCCTTTAGGTCAAACATTTAAAGACAAGAAAAAGTGATTCTGAATAATACATAAATCGCTGTGGAAAGGCAGGGCAGGCTTCTATCTCAGCAACATCCCCAGGTGTAATTAACTGTTTATGTATTCTGGAGAGATCTATTAAAGCCACAAATGATCATTCTGCAAGAAGTGAGGCCAAATGGCGCATTAGTGCCTCTTATCACTAAATTAATCAGCAGATTTAATTCATCCCCATCGTTGTGGTCACAAGCAGAAACAGCTTTGGAGGCCAAACTTTATTTGCTGTTGCGATGTGGAATCTTCTTGTTATTCTTACATCGGTGGTAGAGATTGAGGCCAGAGATCAGATCTCTGTTGAAAACCTTTCGCGTTCCCTTCCTAGAAGATTGAATAATACAACGCAACTTCTTTGTGTGTGTGTGTGTGTGTAGTTTCCTGAAGAATAAGGATAAAATTGTGTCCGACTCTAGGGAACGGTGCTCATCCCCATTTCTTGGCCAGTATTGAACAAAGACAATTTCTGTGGACTTGTAGCCAGCATGGCTATACGCATGGAATGCTGTTACCTTCCCACTGAAGTCATCATCCTCATTTCATGACCCTATAATCTCTTACAGGGTGGAATGTGGGCAACTGAATGGAGCTGAGTGTTTACTGGCCGGATGCCCTTCCTGTCACCAGTGCGGAGGTTTCTTTTTCCCCAGCAGATATATTCCCAGTGTGCCCAGAGAGAGAGAAATATCTGCCTCTACTTAAGATCGAACTCACAGCCTCCTGATAGTGAGGTGAGAGCTCCGTCTCTAGGCTATGACACCACTCTACCTTCCCACTGAAGTGGTACCTATTTATCTACTCGCATTTGCATGGTGGGCAGGAACTGAACCACATAAACCTGAAGAGTAACATCACCCTCATTTTCAATTATCTCATCAAAATGCAGAAGAGAGGCGCCATTTACCTTGCGTTGTCCCTCCCGTGGGATTTCAAGAAGTTCATGTTCCGGTATCTGGACAGGAATGCGACAAGCTGGTCGTTCGTCCTGTGAAACATTTGGGGTGGGGGAAAGAATATTTTTTTTTAAAAAAGACCAACATTTGCCCTCATCGTCACCAATGCATCAAAAGAAATGATGGTGTGGATTTGCCTATAACAAGGAGTCCTCGGCTTACAACCGTCCGTATAGTGCAGGGGTGTCGAACACAAGGGCTGCAGGCCGCATGCGGGCCGCGATGTGATCAGATCTGGGCCGCGGGGGTGTCCTGGACAGGCTATAAGAGGACGGCTTGTGTTGCTTCGGCCCAGTTTACCCAATGCAAAGAGGGAACATGCCAGCAGTTTGGAGAAGTGGCATCAAGCTGGCCATTCCCACCCAGTTGGCCACACCCACCCAGTCAGCCACGCCTGCCCGTTCCCCCGAGGTCAACCACAGCCCAATATCAGCACTTCAAGCTGCATTTACTCTAGTGCTGACATAAGAAGGAGAAGCGAAGACATCTGGAAAGGGATGTTTGACTTTTTACCTACTTATTTTCCCTGGAGATAATATTCCCTAGGAGATGGGATGGGAGGGGGGAAATTCCTTTGAGCTGGAGTAGATTAGAGGTAGAATGACTTGGAAGATGGCTAATGAGTGCAGGGGAGTGGGGAACAGAAAGGGAGGGTTTTGGGGCTAGATGTCAGTGTTGGCTTCGATGGAGTCAGGTTTAGAATGCCGTGCTTAATAAATAGGAGTTTTTCTTCAAAGACTTTGTTTGAAATGCAATTTATTTGAGACAACCTCGAAACTTGACACCCTGATGCGGCCCTCAATGAAATTGAGTTTGATACCTCTGGTATAACGGCACTGGAAAAAAGTGACTTTGGGTTGTTCTTTGCAGTGACAACCGTTGTGGGATCCTCACAGTCACGTAATCAAAATTCAGGCAGTGATTCACTCAACAATTATAGGAAAATAGGTCGTCAATTGGATGTGACTCACTCAACAACCGCCTTGCTTAGCCATGGAAATCCAGGTCTCTCAATTGTGGCTGTTAAGTCGAGGACTACCTATATCCATTAGCCCAGGGGTCTCCAAACTTGGTAAGTTTGTGAATTTCAAGTCCCAGAATTCCCCAACCATGGCTGGCTGAGGAATTCTGGGAGTTGAAGTCCACAAGTCTTAAAAGTTACCAAGTTTGGAGATCCTTGCATTAGCCTAATTACAAACTGCAAATAAAGATCGTCCTAGGAGACCTTCACACTCTCACGGGACTGCTAAAATCGTATTGATTTATTATTCAATCCAATCTTTAAAAAAACCACATCTTTTTGTCAAATGAAGGATTCCCGTGAATGAACTGGGAGAAACTCATTCAGGATTTAGACCAACAAATTTGCATATCATTTTTTCTATTTTTTTCCTCTTCTTGCCAACATTAATGCCAACGTATTTCAGATACGTTAAGGTAAAGGTAAAGGTTCCCCTCGCACATATGTGCTAGTCGTTTCTGACTCTAGGGGGTGGTGCTCATCTCCGTTTCAAAGCCGAAGAGCCAGTGCTGTCCGAAGACGTCTCCGTGGTCATGTGGCCGGCATGACTCAACGCCAAAGGCGCACAGAAGGCTGTTACCTTCCCACCAAAGGAGGTCCCTATTTTTCTACTTGCATTTTTTACATGCTTTCAAACTGCTAGGTTGGCAGAAGCTGGGACAAGTAACGGGAGCAGCTCACCCCATTATGTGGCACTAGGGATTCGAACAGCTGAACTGCCAGCCTTTTTATCGACAAGCTCAGCATCTCAGCCACTGAGCCACCATGTCTGTTAGGACAGCTTTATTATTTTCAGACACGAAAGGGCCTCTGTCTAATTGGCCCCTGGCCTTTTTTTGCAAAGTTGAGAGACCCATGTGTGAAAGACACATCATGTGTGAAAGAAACCCATGTGTGAAATTCTTCCAGTTCCTTCTGAGCACTTGAAAGACGGGAGGAGGGGAAAAAAGCAGACTTTAAGGTTGTTTTAAACTCCGCGCACAAAGCAAATTCTTGGAGCTCATTACCAGGAGCGGATTTACTGTCACATCTCTGAAATTTTATGCCGTATAAATCTGTTACCCTTTAAGATGTCAGAAGCCTCCCCCTCTCTCCCCTTCTCCACCCACTGTTTGTGCTACCTTCTTAGAATTTCAAATCAAGTTTGCCTTTGCCCTGTCTTCATCAACCTTGCAAAGGGAGAAAAAACAACAGCGAAAAAGCTATAATGTCTTTCCTGCTAAAAGGGAGCTCATGTATATGCAGAAAGATGCCTTGCCAGGAAGGAGATTGCAAAATACTAAACTGGGGCGGTGGAAAGGTTTGGAGAAGTAACCTGCTTTATTTATTTTTTATATATATATATATATATATATAAATTCTTTAGACAAGAAATATTTGTAGCTCAGGGTTGAGATTCTACTGGTTCGGACCACTTCAGGCGAACCGGTAGCTCCAACGATCAGCTGTGAATGAACCGGTTCACTCTGACGATCAGCTGGGCCTGCCCACCCTATGCTTTACTTACCTATATCTTCGCAGCTGATTAGCATGGCAGAGTGGATTGCCGTTTTAATTCAGCTGTTTTAATTCCCTAGCACGGGTGTCTGCAACCTGTGGCTCTGGAGCCACATGCGGCTCTTTTGTCTCCCTGTTGTGGCTCCCTCTCTGCTGAACCCACCACTGCTTGGCCGCGCCCCTTGTCCTCCGCTCCCAGTCACTCCTCGCCTGGCCTGGGAAGGTAAGGGCGACGGCGGGGGATGGAGACTTGCTCCATATTCCAGAGCAGAAGCGAAGCACCCTTGTAATTGCCATATCTCACAGGCGCTTCTTCCAGCCCTTATTGGTGCTGCACATACCTCAGTCGCTCGGGGAGATGCGCGACTTGCTCTCTGCCCCGAGACACTGGCCCAGCCCAGCTGCGGCTGATGCTCTGCATCATAATGGGCTCCAGGAAGAGGAGGGGACATCGTCGCCCCCATTGTGAAGCGCGCTAAATTTAACTGTGCTGCGCAAGGCGCTGTGAGAACAACGGGCAGGCTATGGAGGTGGCAATAGCAGCGGCATTGGCCAGACCGAGCCAGTGTCTCGGGGCAGACAGCAAGTTGCGGTTTCCCACAGAAAACACCAACAAAACCTGAGTAAGCGTGGCTGGGAGTGTGTGTCATGTGACTAGATGGGAGTGAGTGATGTCGAGTTGGCCACGCCCACCCAGGTTTTGTGACTCCCGGTGTTTTCTTTTCTGTGGGAAACGGGTCCAAATGGCTCTTTGAGTGTTTAAGGTTGCAGACCCCTGGACTAGCACTAACACGGAAGGTGATTTTTCGTTCAATCGTGTACACGCGTGCAAAGCGCTCGATCACCGACCCGGTTGTTAAACCGGTAGAATCCCACCACTGGTTGAACTGTGGGATCCTCGGCGCTCTCTGAGCTTGGTTGTTTTCTTGGAGACGTTTCACGACCCAACTAGGTAACATTATCAGTGCTAGAAGGGTGTCGGGTTTGCAGATTGGAGGAAGGAAAAGGGGATGAAGGGGAGGTGGAGGAGGAGAACGGTGAAGTCCTTGGTGGTCTCTGAGCTTGGTTGCTTTCTTGCAGATGTTTCATGGCCCAATCCAAGCCAACCAGGTAACATCAACAGTGCACCTATGATGTTACCTAATCAGGTAATGAAACTTCCTCAAATCCACATAAACCAAACTCAAGACTCTATTACAACCAGGAGCCTGTGAACTGCAGGTAGTCCTCAATTTACAAGAGTTCATTTACTGACCTTCAAAGTTACAACAGCACTGGAACAAGTGACTTATGACCACTTTTCAGTGTTTTGCAGCATCCCCAAAAGTCATGTGATCAAAATTCGAATTGCTCGGCAATTGTCTGATATTTATGATGGTCACAGAGTCCCGGGATCACCTGATCCCCCTTTTGCGACCTTCTGACTCAACGGGGAAGCCAGATTCACTTAACAATCAGGTTACTCACTTATCTACGGCGGCCATTCATTTCACAACTGTGGAAAGAAAGGTCATAAAACGGGGCAGAATTGTTCTCACTGTCAGAAATTTTCTCCTTATTTCCAGGTTGAATCTCTCCTTGTTCAGTTTCCATCCATTATTCCTTGTCTGGCCTTCAGCTGCTTTAGAAAATAGCTTGATCCCTGTTGTGGTCCACCCGTAGCCTGCGGAGCTGGCAGCAAAGTCAGACAGTGAGGAGGCTGGGGAGGACCATGTGTCAGTCCTGGAATCTGGGAAAGGCCTGGATAAGGGCTCTGCGTCCAAGGCAGAGATGGGGCCAGGGCCATCTGGGAGCGATGCACGGACTCTGGAGCTTCCAGAGGTGGACAGCAGAGAGGCAGAGGAACAGGAGGAGCCTGTTCCTAGTGCACGCATGTGCAGAGCTGCCAGAAGGCAAGAGCAGCTGAAGCAAAAAGCTAAAGCAAAAAGGACGACTCAGGAGTAAGGCCAGAAGATGATTGGTCCCTCCCAGAAGGCTTAAAAGAGCAGCAATGGCTCTTTGTAGGAAAGCAACATTGCTACATTTGTTTATTGTCGGCGTCTCTTGTTTCTGAACTTTGTGGGGCTTTGCCAAGAAAAGCCTTTGGCAGGGTGCCAAAGAAGACAAAGGTTTGTGATAAGGCCGAAGGACTTTTTCTGAAGGACTTGTTTTGGAATTAATTTGGACTAAGCTGAGAATGAAGTAACTGTTCTAATAAAATATGTTTGTTTAGGACTGATTGTGTCTGGTAATAACTACATGGGCCTAGGTCACAACCACCCGCTCCTCTCAGTGGCAGCCCCTCAAATATTGGAAGACTGCTATCATGTCTCCCCTGGTCCTTCTCTTCTCTTCTCTTCTCTTCACTAGACTAGCCAGGCCCAGTTCCTGTAATTTGAATGCTGTAGCCGAGAAAGACCTGCCCTGGCCTCGCACTATTGTGACTTCATGTGTCCCCTGAAGTCAGAATTTGCATGTCCATTTGGCATGTTCAGTATAGACACACACCTACACGCACAGAGAGGCTCGCAAAGC